CCCCCCCCCCCCGTCCTGCAGCCGTCCTTCCTCCGTTTCAGCCTCCAGCCCCCTAATCCGCTCGGTTGCTCTTCTCTGCTCTCTTGCCAGAGTTTCGGCATCTTCTCTGCCCTGGGCACTCGCCCACTTGGCCCTCCAAGGCCGCATGAAGTGGCATCAAGGCTTCACGGGTTGATCTGGGGCCCATCCCTGTGAAGGCAGCCTCGGACTGCGTTGGCTTGTTTGGCCGCTGCAGCACGTGGCGGGTTCCTATGGACTGAGAGATGGTCCCTCTCACCGTTCCTGCCGTTGAGCCAGTGCCACCTATTCCATACCTGGGCACCTGCTTTTTCCTCGCCTGTGCTCTTCTCTTGCCACTGACCGGCACTTTCCTGGATTGGGCCCCGTGTCCTCCTGGATCTCCAGCCCATCGTGGCGGCTATTCCAACCAGCTTGGTCGCATCTGCAAATTTCAACTGGCTTCCTCCACTCCGTTCCATTTTCTCCTCTCCTTGCGGTTATTTGCAACTGAGCTTTTATCACCTTATTTGGGGGGAAATTCCACTGACTTTAGGGCCCTTTTCAGGATGTGGTCAGTCAGCCGGGAGGACAAGGGGCTGTTCAGGGGGAAACGGGGCCTTGGGCAAGGGCTGCCCCAGCCAGGCAGGCTGCCTCTGCTTCCACCCGGCTCTCGGGACCAGAGGAAACGCTGGAGCGACAGAGCAAAGTGCCTGGGGTGGCAGAAAGGTGGCACCCGGCCCTGCCACAGATTCACCCCCTTTTGCCTAGGAGGCTCTTCGGCACCCTGCGAGCTGGCACCGGGCAGCGCATGCCCCGCTCGCTCCGGCTGCTCCCGGCGAGGAAGTGCTGATGTGGCAGCAGCAGGGAAGGAAGCTGCTGGCCGCAGGAAACCCCCCCTCGCCCCCCCTCCTCCCTCCTGGGGAGCACTGGGCAGCCGGGAAGGGCACCCCGTCCCCTGCAGCTCCATCTCCCCCAGTCTGGGCTGGGGGCAAACTAACCCCCCGCCCCCCACCAGCTCCAGCAGGCAGGCTGCCCCCTGCCTCAAAATTGGGAGGGGGCTCCCCGGGATGGAGAGGGCAGGAAGAGCGAGCAAAGGATCCCAAGGTCCCCTGCTTGCTCGGGGGGGGGGGGTTGTCAGTTTGGGTCAGCAGACTGATCCAGGGGGAGGGGAGCAGGCAAGGGGCACAGATGTGGGCAGCCATGCCAGGAGGAGGGGGAGCAGAAGGGAGGGGGAGGGAGCCCCCCGGCCCCCTTTCTTCTACAGAGAAGCAGCCTCCAAGAACATGGGGCAGCTGCCGGCTGGAGAGAGGCCGCATCCACTCCACACACACACACACACACACACACACACACACGTGGGCCTGGGGGGGGCCGGGGAGATTCCGGAGAGCCCGGGGCGACCACAGAAAGTGAAGGGCAGCCCAAGCGAGAGGCGCAGGCAGGCAGCCCAGGCAGCCCTGGGCCGGTGCAGCAGGCAGCAGCCGGGGGGATCAGGGCCGCCGGAGCCTTGGCAGGGAGCAGGGAAGCCCCCACCCCCACCCACCCCCGGTTGGCAGGCAGAAAGGGGGAGGTGGGGGAATTGCAGATCTGGGACCATAAACAAGGGATCATTTTAAGAAATCCATCTCATTGGGCGCCATCAGATTTGGAGCATTCTGCACCCCTCACTGCTCGTGGAAGGTGAAGTGGGGAGGTCTGGGGGGTGGCTGTGCGATTCTCCCCGGAAGGAAGGAAGGAAGGAAGGAAGGAAGGAAGGAAGGAAGGAAGGAAGGAAGGA